AATAAACCAAGCCTCGAACCTTCTGAGTGTAGAGGTGTTGGACCTGGCGATGCTGGGGTGATATTCTTCCACTCTGTGTTAGAGCAGGGAGGGCCTGCAGCCCTGAGTGTTCTGGCTTTCTTCTTTGCGTCTCCAGGTAGATGAAGAGAGTCAAGAGAGGGTTTGCTTCTCCTGTACACAATGCTGTAAATTTCGGTTAAGAACCAGATGCAAGGTAGCCTTTTAAAATATCCCATTTTGGGTATGAAAATTTATAGCATTTAAGAGTTCACATCTGACTTGTTACAGTCTGTCAGCAATGCCATTACGAATAAAATGAAAGGATACAAACGTTGAAAAAATGTAGACACTCAGGGTGTCATCACATTTCAGTGGCTGATGGTAAGTTCTTGACTTAAAAACTCACTCTGCTATTGGTGGCTTGAGTGTTCTTGAGTTAAGTTCACCTTCTGAAGCCTCTATTTCTGTGAAAAAAGAATGATGACGCTGTCATGTCAGGGCATCAGTATGAGAATTCTAGAGGATTAAGTCTGTGCAAAGGGATTTTTAAACCATAAAACTTGATACAAAGTCCAACTATATAGACTGGAATAGATGCTTTCATAAAGGATTCTTAGCACTTGGTTGTCAAGTTCAGATAGTGTTCCTCGCTTCCTTCATTTACTCATTCACTCACTGATTAATTCATTTATTTGGCAAATATTAACAGGTCACCTTTCATGTGTCAGGCACTGTACTGGTTGCTGGGGGATATAATCAATGAATAAAAGAATAAAACAATCCTTGTCTTCCTGAGCTCAATTCTAGTGGAGGGAGACAGACCCATAGAATGTGCTCTATTACAACAATAATAATAATATAGAAAAGTAAAGCAGGGGAGGAAGATGGAGACTTATGTCAGGGGGAAGCATTTCAGTTTTAAATACAGTGTCAGGGATGACTCCACTGAGAGGGTGACATTTGAATAAAGACTTAAGAGAAGTGAGGAAACGAGCCATGCAGTTGCCTGGGGTGGTGGTGGGGAGGGGGAACAGCTTTCCAGGCAAAAGTAACAGTGTGTGTAAATGCCCTGGGAGGAGACCCAGTGTGTTTGGAAACAGCAAGGAGATGGAGTAGGAGATGATAAGAGGAGAGGTTTGGTATATATTGAAGATGCAACCAATAGGATTTTGTTTTTCCTTTTAGTGCCAGAGAGCATTTATGCTGGTAAAGGACCAGAAGAGAAAGGACCCCCCCAGTGGGGTATGATCATATCCCAATCTATTTTTCCTCCAGTCCATCAGGATTTGGGGCAAGCATGCATCTGTGCTAGGCATGATTTTCAAGTTACTGAAGGCCTGGACTCAAATTGCAATGGGCCACATAATAATCTGCTTTCTTAAGCCATTGTGCTAAGGCCAGTCTAGCAGCCAATAGGATTTTCTGATGGATTGTATGTAATATGTGAGAGAAAGAGAGAAATCAGAGACTCTAGCTAAGAGCCTAGGAGAATAGCATTGCCCATACCTGAGGACTGTGTATTGAATGGCTGAAGGAAAAGACTTGGAGCTCAGTGTTTGACATATTAAATTTGAAATGCCTATTTGACATTCCCAGTGGAATAGGTATTTGGACATATGAGTCTTAGCTCAGTGTGATTCACCCTCTGGTCATGCTAGGTTCTGTGTCATTCTCCAATATTTCTCCCCGGAATTTATATTCTTTGCTGAACTTGTCACTTCTTTTATAGGAGCTCATATACTAACCGCCCAAGTTCTGAGTCATGTAGGCAGTTGTTCACTATTCAAGCTCAACTTGGATCAAGTACATTTCTATCTCTTAGCTACACATTTTCTGATTTGTCATTCACAAGCAAGCTTGTGGAGATGCAGGAGCTGACTTTACAGTAACTTTTCCACCTCTGACTTTGGAGCCGATGGAGATTTTCAAGGAGTACTAACTTTTGGGAGTGAAAATCCTATGGAACCCCCATCATTCCAAAGCTTGTTCCTCTGGTGTTTTGCATTTCCTCCATTTACAGATTTAAACAACTCTGGGGAGAAAATCGCCTTTCTTTTCTTCTTCTTCTTTTTTTTTTTAAGAGAGAGATTTTTGCTATTGGGAGCATGCACTCACCAGAGACAGAAAGCGAGAAATCACTCCCCAGGGGGAATGGCCACACCACAATCCCTTCTCCTTTATTCTCCTCTGGGAACTTTGGGCACACATGCACACACACCTGGCATGAGTTTTAAGCTAAAAGGTCCAGGACTTGAACTGTGGTTGACCTCAGGGGAGTCCAGTGATGTAACCTTTATGATGTCTGCTGGCCACCCCCCCCCCTTTTTTCTTTTGAATAAAGTTTATCTTTTTCTGAAAGAGAGACAGAGATAGAGACCGAGACAGACAAAGACAAAGGCAGGCTGGCTCATCCCCAACAGGGTCTTCATGCCACGATCCACTTCTTTTCATCTGGCCTGGATCATAGGCATGTGTGTATATGCCAGTAGTGCTCAAGGAGTTCTTGGGACATGAGCCCAGGACCTTTCCCATGTGGGTTCAGTTGCATTATAGCTGGACCACTGCCTGGCCCCTGTCCTAACTCTTTTCTGCTCATTGGTGATAGATTTTGGCCACATGACAAAGTTATCACATTTTCCTTAGTTCTGAAGTTCAAAACAGCTAACAGCTGTCCTAGAATGTTACTGTTTCATGAGGAATAAACTCGATCCATTTCCCAACTACCCAGGGTTTTTCTTGAGGTACTTCTGAGTCTTAGTTTTGAGGAAAAAGACTTTGTCTTGAGGTAGACTGAATAACTAACACAAGTATTTTGTTGAGGCCAATAAATGCCTCTTTGGTCCCTTGGGCAAGTGAAGCAGTGCCATCCACTGGCTGGTCCTACACACCACATGATGTCTGCAGGGGGCATGCTTGCTGAGTTTTAGTCATGAACTATAGAAGCAGACACTGTGAGTTTTAATGTTTGGTCCCCCAAAACATTCCAATTTATTTGAATAGATTTTGATATACACTAATTTAATTTCTTTCCAGATTTCTATTTGTTGTAGTGAAAACAAAATAACTTCCAAAGGAAAGTGGTTTATGCTCTTGCTTTGCTTACGCAGTGGCCATTCTCATTATTCCTCACTTCTAGTCCTTGTCCACTTGCAGCCATGTTTACATCATCATAATAAGAGTATATATATCTATGAACTGATGTATTTTGTATTATTCCTTTTTAAAAAAAGTTTACTTCTGGGACCAGTAGTTAGCGTAATGGCTATGTTGCTGAACTCTCACGTAGCTGACTGCGGTTCGAGTCCTGGACCTGGTGGCTTAAACTCATTCCCGGTGTGTGTGCATGCGTGCCCAAGATCCCTAGAGGAGAATGGAGGAGAAGAGATTGCAGCATGGCCATCCCCCTGGAGGGTGATTTCTCACTTTCTGTCTCTCTGTCTCTGTCTCTCTCTCTCTTTCTGGCAAGCACACATGCCCTATAGCAAAAACCTTTCCAAAAAATTTTTTTTTAAAAGTTTATTTCTTCTATGGGACAGTGAGACAGACAGAAGCAGGCATCCCCAATAGGGTCATTTCATATCACAATTGAACTCCTAGTCTCAACCAGCCAAGATCACACACATTTACACACTTGCCTGGGGTATATAGGGAGAAGTTGGGATGGAAACCCAGGACCTTCCCTTGTGGTCTCAGAATCATGGTGCATGGCGGTGCCATTGTGCCACTGCAACTGGCTGGCATTCTAATCTACTGAGTGCCATCTGTGTGCTATGTCCTGTGCTGAGAACTTCATGACATTGAAGAGCTTCATTTAATCCTCATGACCACTCCTGAGTCCTCATATTAGATTTGAGCGCTATAGAGAGGTAAGATAAGGAAATCAAAGATAAAGAAACCAAAGCTCAGAGTTCATACCTATAACCAACCCCATCAGCACAAAGAGAGCTTGGGGCATGGGATTTGGTAGCAGATGTTTGAGAGCCATTGGTTGTGTGATTTTTGTGCAAGTCATTTTTTTTCTGAGTGTCAGTAATTTCTACCTACCTCATGCAACTGTTGCACACTGAATGGTATAAGATATATGAAGGTGCTTGATAAACTGTAATTTTTATTATAACCATTTCTTAATAATTCCCCTCTTGTTAGAGTTAGTCATTTACCTTATATATGCTGTATATGTGCGTGTTAGCATGGAGTTGCAATGGATGATGTCTAATATGTATTGCCAAGAGTTGGTAGTAGTTTATATAGCTACCAATAATGAGTGAGTCAACTAGTTTTACTATGGTATTGTAATACTGGATAACTTCTAAAAATCTCCTAGTACAGTGGATTTAATATACTATAATATAATGGGCCATCAGGAAAGTCATGATGCATTTTTGCATAGAAAAATACATCATGGTTTTCCCAATGACCTAATAGTTTGAGTGGGCATTTCTTTGATCAAAAGCAAAGTTGAACATTTTTACCTGCTTGTTTATTAATAGTCTTTCTCTCTCTCTTAAATATTACCTATTTCTTCTGAGAGAGAGAGAAAGAGAACCCTCAACAGGGTTTCAACAGTACAATCCATCCCTAGACTTCAACCAGCCCCAGATCATGGACAAGCATGCTCCCAGTGTATCAGGGAGATCTTAGAACCCAAACTGAGAATGTTCCCGTGTTGGATTGCCCCCCAGAGCCTTACCTTTCACCTCTGCACCACTGTCTGGTCCTAACAGTCTCTTTTCATGAATGGTCTTTTTGAGTTCTTTGCCTGTTTATGCGTTGGAGACATTTTGTTTTTGGTATCAATGTATGTTAAGTTATTTATATAACATAACAAGTTCTTTATAAATATAACCCTTTGTTATATTTGTGGTGAATAATGTTTTTTCCAGCTGTTTTCTTTTTCATTCTAATTATGCTCATTTTGTCAAGTGAGGTTTACTTTTATAATGTATAAACTGTCCATCTGTTGAGATTTTGTTCACCTTAACTTACAGTTATTGTCCCTTGTGCTTACATTAGCAGCATACTTACTAAAGTTGAACGATACAGAGAAGATTAGTGTGGCCACTGTGCAAACATGACACATATTCGTGCAATGTTCCATATATATATATAAAACTGTATAAAAATTATCTCAGAAAATCTGATACAGAAACAAAAAGAAACCTACACATAACTTATCCCTCTAAATATTTAAAGTAGTACAGTAAAATAAGTATTTTTACAGAGGTGAAGATTTTCTTTAAGCTTTTCCTATCCATATTCACATACAATATGTGGCTATAACGTTCTTTTTTGCATATTTTATCTTTATCAGGCTCTACAAAGTTCCTGCTTGCCTAATGGACCTAAAGATGCTCTTATCTCTTTCAGCACTTTGGATGTTTATATAATATTGAAATATGTTTCTCAAAAGTTTAAAAATTGTCCTGGTGGACACATTGGGGCCAACTGTATTTTTTTGGGTTGTTATTGAATAATTTTCTCCATCTCTTCCTTTGCTAGTCTTTTGTTTAGATTTTTGTTTCTTGGATTATTTTTAGTAATCTGTGTTTTCCTGAAAATTATTAATTTCATTGAGGACTTTAGTTTATTAGCTGACAAGTGTATCTAACATTCTCTTTGGATTTGGGGGAAAAATCTATTTTCTGTAAATTATCCTCTCTCTTTTCTCATTTCTAATTAAAAATGTTCCCTTAATTATATTTGTTAGAGGTTTGTTTACTTTAGTAGTCTTATCAAAAAACCAGCATTTGAACTAATTAATCATTTTAATGCTTTATAATTTATTTATTTCAGCTTTTATCTTTATTTACTGCCTTGATTAAAATAATTTTTCTGCTTAACTTTTAAGTGAAAGCTTTATTAATATTGACTTGGATAATTCCAGTATGAATTAGGATCCTGAAGTCTGAAACAAATGGTGGGGGAAGATAAACTGATGTATTATCATTATCTGTTGATCAATCGGGGACCAGAAGGGACAACAACAGAGACCACATAGGCTAGTTCAATAGAAGGAACTCAAATATGGGGGCTGTAATAGTTGTGGATACTAGAAGAGCAGTAAAGCCAAACGGGCTGGTGAGTCATTATAATGAGCCACAGCAGTAAGCTGCTATTCCCCACCAACACACAGCTGGAGGAACCCAGGACAAAGGGGATGAGATTAGACCCAGGAGCTTGGGTATCTGATCGGACCAGAGGTACAGCTCTGAGAAAGCCACAGAAGGTAGACATGGGTCTGGGGAAGGGGGCAAAAGAAGGAGAAGTAACAACCTAGCTTTTACTGCCCTCCTCCCCCTCATCTCCTGCTTTCTTTGGAAGAAATGCACCAAAAACTGGTTGGCGAAGGAGCCTAAGAAGTGTAAGGAGCCTAAGAAGTGCATGAGGTCAGGTGCACAAGATAGGAGCAGAACAGGAAAGGGCAGCCCTTGGGCATGTGGGCTGACATTGGCCAACAGACACTTTCCCCTCAAATGTGGGTAGGTCAGGAAGATTTGTGATGGTACAGTTAGTCCATTGTGATGCTATTACCTAACATTAAAGACTGGGAAATTTATAAAAACAGACTTTCATTTCTGACAGTTTTGGGGTCTGGGAAGTCCATGACTAAGGTGCTGGTATCTGATGTGGACCTTTTCTATGGAGACTGTTCTGCCTCTTTATGTGGTGGGAGGCAGATCAGCCAGAAATAGTGAATTCACTTTTGTGATCCCTTTATATAGCAACTTAATTAATTAAGTTATAGATTAAATTAATCCATTTGTGAAGGATTGATTAATCCTCATGACCTAAACACTTCCCGAAAGACCTTGTCTCTCAACGCTGTGGATTGGAAATTAAGTTTCCAACACGTGAGTTTTGGAGTGGACACACTCAAATCATAGGATACACAGGTGACAGAACTAACACTAAGGTGCTGTAAAAATCTTTGCTAAGTCTTGTAAGGTCTTCTGTACTACATCCTCCTCCTCTTCTCTTCTTTTTAACTATCACACATTTAAAAAGGTAAGTCAAGTTTCTGTTCTGGCTCTTTCCTCAGTCTATCTTACCCACAGCTTAATTCTAGCCTGGCCCTGGGTATAGGGATACCCAGATCTTTATCTCTACTCTTTTTTCCTCAGCTTTGGATCCATATTTCTAACTGCCTAGTCTGTATCAGGAGTTCCTCAAAATCAATGTAAATTGAGGCCCAGCTGCAGTGGTGCAGTGGTAGTGTAACACTTAGTGATGCTGGAGCCACATGGAAAATCAGGCTTTGGTGTACTGTCCAACCTACATACTGGATGTGCCCTTATATGCCCTTGAGCCTGCCCGATGGGGAGCATGGGGTGGGGGACTGCAGCTTGAAACTCTACTAAAGATGCTTGTCTTCCTCTCTCTCTCTCTCTCTTTTTTTCTCTCATGGAAAGAAAGCATTAATGGCACAAAGAAATGTGGTATTATCTGTTGAAGATATTTCTAGTTTTATCAACAGTACTAGGGAAAAATGTTCACCTGTTGAAATATCCATTTTGTAAGCCAAATAATAATGTGATTGAATATATAAAAGAAAATGAAATAAAAAAATAAATTAAAAAAGAAAGAAATACACTTAAGTTATTATAAATGAATTAATTTTTCCCCCAGAGGGTGCATAGACTTGCCAGAGAAAAAGAGAGAGGGAGAGAGCAAGAGAGAGGGAAGGTGAAAAAGCATCACTCATGGGGAAATGGTCACACTGCAATCCCATCTCTCTCTCTCCCTTCTTTCGGAATTCTGAGCATGCATGCATACTCAGTGTTTCTCAGGCTGCCTGGTCCAGGACTCAAACTATGCAGTCAGCCATGTGGGATCCAGCTGCCTTAACCACCAGGTCACTGACTGGCACATAATGTTTTTTTTTTTTAAATGTTAGAGCGTTTGTGCATTCCTGAGAGAGGAAAAAGACCCCCCCTACTCCCACCGGCATATGGTCACACTATAATTTCTTCTCCTCAATTTCTCCACCCTGTCAGGATTTTGGGCACATACACACATACACCGAGTATTTTTTTCAAGCCAGTGGCATTAGGATTTGAACATGGCAGTTTGTCATGTGGGATCCAGCTTTTTAAACTATTCGGCTATGAAGCTAGTCCATAAATTGAATTTATGGTGTTTTCTTCTCCCCAAATCGGTTTACTTCATGTATTTCTCAATTGGTAGGAGCCCCTCCATTTAGGCATCAGGGCTGGCCAGGTTGGAGCAGTCCTTAACTTTCCTTCTTCCTTAGGTTCTTTATAAGCCTACACAGGTCTGCCTAATTCTATGCCCTAAGGTATCTCCATCTCTTTCTTTTTAGGTCTACTGAAGCCAGACAGCTCTGACCACTAGCAACAGTCTTCTAGCTAGTCTCTCTTCCTCTAGTCTCCCTCTGTCCATCCCAGTCCTCCACACTGATATCAAAGCGAGAGTTTGGGAAATACAAATTGATCATATTACTCAAGGCTATAAACTCCTGAAGGGCTTCTAAGTGCATGGTATTCACCCACAGCCGCTTCATTCTGGGGTCAGTTCATGCCTCCTTTCCTACTTCATCTTTTGGCTTTTGCTACTTCTTTCTGATGCAACCATGCCAGACTTCCTTCATTCTCCTGAAAGGTTGTGTCCTTTTTGTATTCTGAAACCTAAGCATGCATGCTTTTTTCTCTCTGATCCTGCAAGGCAGCAGTTCTCATAGTGGGGTTTCAGGGTCAGCATCAGCTTAGACATCACCTGGGAACTTGTTAGAAAGGCTAATTCTCAGGATTCACCCAAGCCTACTGAATCAGAAACTTTTGGCCTATGGCCTGGGAATCTGAGTTTTAACAAGCACATAAATTTAAATTCAAGGGAAGATTAAGAACCACTGTTGTAAGGTTACCTTCCCAGGGACCTTGAATCTTATTCAATTATAGATGTTAGGTTTGTATAGCCTTTCATGTTGCCTCTGCCAGAGTTAATTGCCCCCTCCCTATGTTCCTCTAACAATTTGCTGATATCTCTTTTAGAGCTATTAAAAATCACTCTATTTATTAAAATAGACCATGAGTTCCTCCATTGAAAGGACTGTGTCTCATTCCTCTTTATTTTCCCAGTTTCTAAAAATTTCCTAGCAATGCACTTCCCTAGAAATGCTCAGAGTGTGTGCATGCACACACACACATTGGTGAATAAAAACAATATTTATTTAATAAACACTTTCATAATGCTTAAAGCCAGATGCTGTAAAAATTTAAAACCCCTTAATATTTGAAAAAAAAAATCACTGAGGGCTATTACAGCTGTCATTTTCTAGATGAAGAAGTTGAGGCAGAGAGAGCTTACAGAAGCTCAAAGTCATGTAGCTGGAGAGTGGTGGAGCTATGGTTTGAGTTCTGGCAGTTTGGCTGTGGACTTTTGAAAAAAAAAAAAGTTTATCTCCCTTTCCTGTGGAAGAAAAAAATAGAGAATGAGAGAGAGAGGCACACTCAGAGACAGAGATCCAAAATAGGGTTTCCAGACTTGTGATCCACCTCCAGCTTCATGCAGCCCAGATTACACGTATGTGTGTGCCCAACTTGTTCAGGGAGGTCTCTGGATGTGAACCTGGAACCTTCCCACGTGAGTCAGCCTTGCAGAGCGTCATGTTACCACTGCACTACTATCTGGTCCCGTCGATTCAGGATTCCTTGTCCCTCTCCCACAGGCTGTCTCAGTAGTGGTAGTAGTGTTAAGAGGATGTGTAGAAGGGCGGTAAGCATGGGCAAACTGCACTCTGTCCATTGCAGAAGTTCTTTGTGGTTCTGCGTGCGGTGGTTTCTTCAGCTTAGGGAGGTCCCTAAGCTATGGAGTGGATCAGTGCAGGGCAGCTTCTCAGAAGACTTGTGAGTTCTGCTTAGCATTTATCTCCAATGGTGGAAGAGGCTCTGGACTAATGATCTGGAAGAGGTTATTTGTTATAAAAGCAGCTCTGCAACTGACCCCAGGAGACCTGATGACCAGGCTAACATTGTGATTTTTTAGTCTTGAATGAGTCAGACTAACTCCTAGCAGGATTTTAGAGACCTTTAATAGCAAAATGTGTGACAATATTTTTCCCAGGATAGTATAGGTCCTGGCCAGATA